GTATAGTATTGGCTGTCGGTCTGTGCGTGCGTGCGTGTGTGCGTGCGTGCGTGCGTCTCCTATACCGTGTCAGTATACCTGCCTGTATGTTCATGTGTCTGTGTGTGGTTTTCCTAGATTCAATACTGTGTCTATATACCTGCCTGCATGTTCATGTGTCTGTGTGTGGTTTTCCTAGATTCAATACTGTGTCTATATGCCTGCCTGTATGTTCATGTGTCTGTGTGTGGTTTTCCTAGATTCAATACTGTGTCTATATACCTGCCTGTATGTTCATGTGTCTGTGTGGTTTTCCTAGATTCAATACTGTGTCTATATGCCTACCTGTATGTTCGCGTGTTAGACTAACATTTAGTCTATGAAATCTTACATTACACAATATCCTTCTTGACTCTAAAAATAATAAAAAAGATTTCCCCTGTGTTGATTTCATATGTGGAATAGAGCTAGCTAGAGCAGGCTAGGCTTGCTTTTGTATGCGTTTCTAGTGGTTTTTTTTCCATAAAATAATTATATTCCATACTCATGGTGCAGAACTAGTTCGTGTGTCTGAGTGTGTCTTTCATGGCTCATTAATATGTCTATTCGCCTACCTGTATGTGTACGTGTGTCTCCTACTCAAATAAAATCCATTATGTAAATCTCACTGCAAACCTGTTAACATACAAAACTTTCAATTCGGCCAGGATCGATAACCAAATGAGGCGTTAGAAGTTGAACGACCAGCAGTTGACGACCATGTTGATGATGTAGGTGTATACGATATTAATCTGCCTATTGAAACACGGATACATGGTGAGTGACATGATCTGGTTGACCTCACAGTGACCTACCTGCACAGTTCTACACGGAATGAGGACTATCGATCGCTGGCGGCTTTATCAGAGACGGTGAGATACTGACAACTGGCACTACGAACAATCATCTCAGTAAGATACTGATGAACAGGTTACCCGGGTAACAGACCTGTACAGCTGATGGACAGGTTAATAACCCGGGTAACAGATCTGTACAACTGATGGACAGGTTACCTGGGTAACAGATCTGTACGACTGATGGACAGGTATACCTTAAGTACTGATGTACAAGTATATCGTAAGTACTGATGGACAGGTATACCCTAAGTACTGATGTACAAGCATATCTTAAGTACTCATGGACAGGTATACCCTAAGTACTGATGTACAAGCATATCTTAAGTACTCATGGACAGGTATACCTTAAGTACTGATGTACAAGCATATCGTAAGTACTGATGGACAGGTATACCTTAAGTACTGGTGGACAGGTATACCCTAAGTACTGATGTACAAGCATATCGTAAGTACTGATGGACAGGTATACCCTAAGTACTGGTGGACAGGTATACCTTAAGTACTGGTGGACAGGTATACCTTAAGTACTGGTGGACAGGTATACCCTAAGTACTGATGTACAAGCATATCGTAAGTACTGATGGACAGGTATACCTTAAGTACTGGTGGACAGGTATACCCTAAGTACTGATGTACAAGCATATCTTAAGTACTCATGGACAGGTATACCCTAAGTACTGATGTACAAGCATATCTTAAGTACTCATGGACAGGTATACCTTAAGTGCTGATGTACAAGCATATCGTAAGTACTGATGGACAGGTATACCTTAAGTACTGATGGACAGGTATACCTTAAGTACTGATGGACAGGTATACCTTAAGTACTGATGTACAAGCATATCTTAAGTACTGATGGACAGGTATATCTTACGTACTGATGGACAAGCATATCTTAAGTACTGATGGACAAGCATATCTTAAGTACTTATGTACAAGCATACCTTAAGTATTGATCAATGGGCAGGGTTCCTGAATAACCGTCTTTACTGGTGGGCTGATCACATGTCTACGTAACGTGATCTTATTGTAAGAACAGGTACTAGCAATGTCCTACCACATTTGTCATACAGTAGTAAAAGAGTCAGGGTGTTTACTTCAATACAATACCTCCGTGACGACTGCCTGGAGCCCATCTACCGACACGTGTTATGTTGGCTGTCTAAACATATCAGCCAGACTCCAGCCACCCATGATAGTCTCACACCTCACTGGTCGACATGCGGCTTGCGATAAAACAGTCTGAGAGAGAATCGTATGTGAGTGTGACGTCAGGGTGTGCGTAAAATGATGCTGACGTCTGTGAGAATTTGAAATGACGTTGACGTCTGACAGACTCTGAAATGACGTTGACGTCTGAAAGATTCTGAAATGATGCTGACGTCTGAGATTCCGAAATGACGTTGACGTTTGAGAGACTCTGAAATGACGTTGACGTCTCAGTGTGTGAAATGACGTTGACGTCTCAGTGTGTGAAATGACGCTGACGTCTCAGTGTGTGAAATGACGCTGACGTCTGACAGACTCTGAAATGACGCTGACGTCTCAGTGTGTGAAATGACGCTGACGTCTGAAAGATTCTGAAATAACGCTGACGTCTCAGTGTGTGAAATGACGCTGACGTCTGACAGACTCTGAAATGACGCTGACGTCTCAGTGTGTGAAATGACGCTGACGTCTGAGAGACTCTGAAATGACGCTGACGTCTCAGTGTGTGAAATGATGCTGACGTCTGGGAGATTCTGAAATAACGCTGACGTCTCAGTGTGTGAAATGACGCTGACGTCTGAGAGACTCTGAAATGACGCTATCGTCTCAGTGTGAGAAATGACACTGACGTTACAATAGCTGAATCACAAAAAGGGCAAGTCCAGGGGGTTGCACATAACTAAAGCAATACAGTGAACAAAACCCCATGATAGGCAGACCCCCCCCCCCCCCCCCCCCCCCCCCATTTTTTGGGATCCGCAAATGACACCCCCATATCTCACCATACACCGTGTTCTTCATTCAGTCATAACATGTCAAAGGTTGCTCGGTCACATTTGCATACGACGTGCTAAATGAAGATAAAACGTTCCAGCTATTATTGCAAGAATGGCTACACATCTCTTCTGTTTTCTTTTGGTTCACATACGTGCCCTGTAACCCGTTCCCCGTGTGCACGGAGGACAAGCCACATACCACACGCGCCCCAGTAATCTCCCTGATAACCGACCGGGTTACGACACCAGGTCCGAGAGGGCAGTGCCCGGAATGTGATATAATAGCCTACTGTTGACACACGACACACAATAGCGGCTCAGACAAATCTCTCTTCAAATCAATGATACGCTTCGCTGCACATACATACAGTGCGATATGCTGGCCTACTCGCGGGTATGTCACTGACTCCTTAGAGTCAAAATAGTTGAGACATTTCTGTTTTCACTGCAAACTTTAAAGGGACGCAGTCTGAGAGCCCTATTTGCATGTCTGTCACATTGTAAAGTTACGGAACGATTTAAAGCAATGTTATTAAGTTATCTGGCAAGCGTTGTGACCGTCAATCAGATTTTCTTCTTTCTTTCATGCTTTTGACAAGAGGCATAAATTCAGAAAAGCAGTATGGCTGAACTACGGGGCGGTTTTGTGAACTTCTAGAGAGAATGTGATCGTGAGCAAATCCTTGACTGAAGATAAATTTTCACCATATGTTTATGTTGTCTTTACCAACATACCCTTACAAAATCCAAGCATCTCACGTTTAAATTTTACAAAAACGCTTTCCTAGAGCCTCTACGTTTTGACACAATTAACCGTATCTCCTACTTGTGGTCCATAATAAACAAACAAAGTCAATTCTCTCTCCACATCTGATCAATTTCATAACAATTTGAAATAGGTTTCCATCATTTCTGAAATAACTATGACCTGGAGGCCATAACAGTCTCATCAGATCAGTTCCTGTACGTCAATCATGAGTGACACTTAATGATACCCGTATTAAGGTGCGTGTGTCGCGTACTCCGAGGCGGAGCAGTCGCGCGTAGGCTGCATCACCAGTTTAGCAACTCCCCATTAGAGTCACGAGATACGCGGAAGAAAGAAAAACTTGGGACAGTTTAAGGATAGAAAGAAGCATTAGAAACATAAAAACCGTGTACTTCCTACATTTCATATCGACATCTGTATGGTTGACAGGCGTACTCAGAGCGACGACTACAATTCAAGCATCACCTCAACCATGGGTGGATGTGTCGCGGATCTTAATATATCACCTGATAAACGTGGGTTAAGATGCACATATGAACACACTGCAAGGCCAAAGATATACCTAGTGTATATAATGTCTAACGACACAAACCTGCCAGACGTGTCCCAGTGTACACAGACTAGCGTGGGCTGGCATAGACTAACTCTTAGTCTCTGAAAATATATAATTAGAAAAAAAACCAACTACATTTATATTGAAAAGGAGCCCCAGTGAAATGGGAGATTCAGAACCTGTGGAAAATCTAGACTTGGTTCATTTAGAACTATAGCATTACAGAAAGGGCTGGGCGGAAGAGAACATGGTATGATTCAGGGACTGCGCGACAGACTAGGACTGTCACTATATAACCACCACATATGTAGCTGCACGCGGCGATTAATAAACAGCATATGTCAGTCATATGTATGCCGGATAGAGCTGATGTAGATCACGTGCATTGTGGTTACCTGTATAAAATCAACAATGACTTAGGCGAGCATCTTTATTGACAACGCGGAAGGTGCTGCAAATTACTGTACCCTTCCACGTCCTCTAGAAGTCATTATCCCAATTCATGTATAAAGCATGTGACGGGCATATCGACCAGTGGTTTATCCTAAGATTCGTTAAGTCGCCCGGACGTTTACCTGGGGGAATATTATTAAGACTCGCATATCGTCAATACTTCAACATATATAGCGACCGGTGTTGTGAGATAGTGGGTCAGGTAGTCAGGACAGTTGCTTGAGTTATGCACTAGGCCAGCCCACTGTGCGTGTGTGTGAGTTGACTCTATCCCCGACTACAGGTAGATATATATCCGCAACACCTGTGGAATACGAGGCAGGGACTGTGTGAGATGTGTCCTGGTCAGTGTATTGCGTTCTTACCTTGTATGTCCCTTTCGGTTAGAGGTAAAATCCAACAGCAAATTGTACACAAATGTCAACTAGACAGTTAGAATCCACGATTTTGGTGATACTTTTGTATAAACACATGTGTCGTGGGTCCCGGAGAAGACGGACGACGCGCTCTCAATGCTCCGAGAAATGGAGCGTAACGCTGTGCGGGTGCATAGTTCGTGTAGGACTCGCGTTTCTGTTTAGGGTGGTCGATATGTAACTGCAGCTGAGACTGGGTATGGTGGTGGTGCAGATGTTACAAGCCAAGTAAAGCGCTATTTCATATTGTCAATGTCCGCTTCAATGAAACCTGGAGTGTAAACATAAGTGACGCGCGTTGTAAATTCTGGACAATGTTATAGCAGCCACAGTGAAACCACGTTAATTATTCCCTTACAAAGTTGCGTTCCTTAACCGTGCAGGATCCGCTGTTCGTGTATTCAAAATTCTCCCCGATTATTATCCTTGGGCTCCCTGTCATATCTTCTCGGATTAATCAAAGCACGTCTTACGATTCTTAGTTTGTCATCACCTTACGCTAGCCCGGGGTTTCACTAAAGTGGTAATTAAACGTCTTCAAACAAAGTCATTTTGAACTTTCCTCCCACATTAAGCTGACAAGCTCAGATACAACCGAAATACCGTACAAATGGGCTTTGATCCCAACTCACTCACTAACTCAGCCGGTGTTGTTTAACTCACGGACCTATGGTTTATATATAGGTCCGTATTTAACTTAAAAAAATGGTTCTGTGACTTGGCGTAAGTTTTATCCGCATTCCCCGAGTGAAAGATCTGAGTCGACATGGCTAAATTTCTCCACCAGTGACCGAACCCATATCAATTAATTATCCAAAGGGTACGCTTGAAACTACTGTATGTTGACTCTGGATTAGGAAGGTGAGGGAGCCAAAAAATAAAATTGTGCGTCCCTAGTCCAACTCGAAAGAGGCCACATCCACGCTTAAGGTAGAAGAATTCAGGAGGGGCAGGGGGTTGTATATAAAGTGTATGATTCAAGGGTCAGCTCTGTCACAGCGACAATACAAGCGTCGCCATAGGGCTAAGAAGAACGATATGTGGGTGGTGTGAAAGCTTGAAAGGTGCATGACGAAAATAGCACACAGAATTCCAAGTAAGCAACAGATGCAAAGAGAAACGCCAATGCATTAATAGAGACCTTAATAAAACTGCTCGACAGTGCAGTGACTCCCTACTGTAAGTAACGTCATAGGACATGGCCGTGCAGTCCCCACTCCCACCTGCAGAATGGTGGGGAATGTATATAGTGTTGTTGTTGTTTGTGCTTTACTCTGTGGGGGACAGACACATTCTTTATTAAAGTCTAACCAGTGTGTGTGTGTGTGTGTGTGTGTGTGTGAGAGAGAGAGAGAGAGAGAGAGAGAGAGAGAGAGAGAGAGAGAGAGAGAGAGAGAGAGAGAGAGAGAGAGAGAGGGGTGGGTGGGGGGCGGTAAATTGAACTCAGATCTTCAACTTTCTACCAACAAAGATCTAAGAAGGAAAATGACGTTAACCATGTGAAATTAAATGGTACATTTGCTTTGTTTGTTTATTTGTTGTTAAACGCCGCACTCAACAGTATTCAAGCTATATGACGGCTGTCTGCAAATCCAGTGATTGGCACCATGAGCATCGATCTGCGCAATTGGGATAAGATGACCTGCATAAACAAAGTCACCCGATCCCGTAATTCGCCTCTTACGACAAGCAGGGGCTGCTGAAGACCTGTTCAACCCGGATCCTCACGGGTGGTACGACTGATCTTACGTAAAGGTTGCAAATGTCATGCAGTTAGGTTTACATTTTATTACTGTTAATTGGTATACACTCGTCATACAGAATATACACTAGACTACTGCGCTGGCTCTTAAGGTTTCACCTATTTCGTATTATCCTGATAAACTGCTGTCACTCGTCCCCAATCTTACACAACGAACAGTAACACGCTGTGTTTGTGTCCGAAGTCGCGTTCATTTAATTTACTATATAAAGATGATTCTCTAAGGCTATTTTATCATTTGTACTCAATAATTTTGCCAATAAGAAATATACTGCATATGAGTATATATCCTGATAAATGTACAGTAGCTTCTACCTTTAGAGGACGTGCAATACATGCCAAACGTTAACTTTAAGCCCTGGGGTACGCGTTTATATCCTGATAATTCACTCGTCGCAATTTGATCATTTGATAGTCTGATTTGGGCTTGGTGGCTTATTAACGAAGCTATCTTAAATTAGTGCTTATATGCTGTTCCAGAAAATGCTGAAAATGTTTTATTTCGCCTCAGGTGTGAATATATATATATTAAAAGGTTCACTGGACAGGATGAATATTAAAATATAAGATAGCTATATACGCGATGAATCGAAAAAAACCGAAGTATTGTCGTGGTTTATTTCACGATAAAACATTGTTCTATCATGACGTCATTTCTGGAGAATGGAACATGCGCTCCAACTTGATGACGTCGTATTTTTAGAGTGTCTAGTGAGTTGTTCCCCAACAGATGAAGCTGGGCAACGTAGATAAACACGATGGCCGAACGATCGCATCCAAAAGCAGGAGAGGTATGACAATCGGTATTGGGGTAAAAGGTACAGGTGAAAATATAATCGACGTGAGGATTGTGAGAATATGCGGGAAATATCCACCTGTGCATAACATGGGCTTGTCCGACATTGCCGAGGTCGGATTCTATTGAGGGAGTCATCGTTATTATAATACGGGTAAATATTTTTAAAGCTTGTACATTTTATCATCACCCTTAAAGAGGCTGTAAATAATGTAAATATCTGATAAAAAAATACCAGTAAACGTGGTCGTTGTTTATCGTACAATAAAACACTAAATGGAGAATTAATCACTCGGGCTGCACACCTCATGGTTCATTCCCCCTGCAGTGTTTTATTGTACGATAAACAACTCCGACTGGCTGCGCCCCTCATGGTTTATTCTCCCTGCAGTGTTTTATTGTACGATAAACAACTCCCACTCGCCGTTTATTTCTTAATTAAAAGGCCGGTCCCTTGTTCCTTGTCACCTGATATTTCCAGGTAACGCATGCGCAGAGAACCGTGTGACTGATCGTTATGGTCGTGCCGTCGGAAGCGGCTAGAGTCTTTAGCTAAGGCATTAATGGCTAACACGTGGTCCTGGATCGGATTCATGAACCTGACCCAGCGCATCAATATAAACTGATGGAAGTTTAAGCAGCCGTGGCGGTGTTTAGTAATATCATCTATATCAACGTCACGACCATTATCATGGAAAGCAGTTCTCTGGGAACCCAACCCATTAGGTCCCATACTGTGTTTCCAAGGATCTTGAAAATACTCAACACAATCTGTTAACACGGATGGTGTTGGGTTCTTTACCCAAATTGATTCCATTTTATCATGTATCTGACTTCCAACAGTCTCACGTATGACATCTAAAGGCAGATCACCCTATTCAACTTGTAAAGCCTCATCAGAGATCTTAGGGCTTTAGACTGCCGAATCAAATCCTGCATTTTGTGTGGTACATGTAGACAGGCAAGACACCCGAAATCAGGTCGACATCTAATAAAAACTCTATATAACACCAATACACATTTCCTATCTCTGCTACCCGGGGTAGAATAGGTCTTCTGCAACCCAAGCGTGCTGTAAAAGGCGACTATGCTTGATCGGGTGGTCAGGCTTGCTGACTTGGTTGAAGCATGCCATCGATCCCAAATGCGTGGATCGATGTTCATGATATTACTCACTGTATTGTCTGGTCCAGACTCGATTATTTACAGACCGTTGTCATATAGCTGGAATATTGCTGAGTGCGGCGTTAAACAACAAACAAACATTTCACACCTTCGGACGTCAGCGTCATTTCAGAGTCTTTCAGACGTCAACGTCATTTCAGAATCTCTCAGATCTCAACGTCATTTCAGAATCTCCCAGACGTCAGCATCATTTCATAATCTTTTAGACGTCAACGTCATTTCAGAATCTCTCAGACGTCAGCATCATTTCAGAATCTTCATACCAAAAGACGATAAAAGATGGTACGTGGTTTTATCCTGTCTGGCGCTCGGCATAAAGGGGCTAAAACAAGGACTGGTCGGCTCGGAGTCAGTATACTGTGTCTGAGTGGGGTATTCATGTTAAACTGCGGCATGGTATCTCAGTAAGCTAGCTTAAATTGGCCTCAGTCCGGACTAGTACAAGCAGCCACACACACACACGTGCGTGCACGTCGCTATATAAGTGTAATAATCTTTGACGCGACGTTAAACCCAATTTCACCTCACCTCAGAATCTTTTAGGCGTCAGCGTAATTTCAGAGTCTCTCAGACGTCAGCAATATTTCAGAAATTTTCAAACGTCAACGTCATTTCATAGTCTCTCAGACGTCACCATCATTTCAGAGTCTTTCATACGAGTGTGGCGTTAAACAATAAACCAACCAATCCTATCTGTGCCCCATTTATTTGGTACTGGAAGTACTTCTCGGAAGGTAAAGTTCCCTGTGAAGATCCAGGTTACAATTTTTCTTCAGCATCCCATGCTTGTCGAAAGAGGCGACTAACGGTATCGGGTGGTCAGGCTCGCTGACTTGATTCATGAATGCCATCTTAACCCAATGGCGTAGATCGATGCTCATGGTGCCAATCACTGGATTGTCTGGTCAAGACTCGATTATATACAGACCGCCATGATATAGCTGAATATTGCGGAGTTCGGGGGTTAAACAATAAACAAACAAACTGAAGCTCTAGGACTTTAGTGTGGTTTCCTGGTAAGCCTCTTGTCAAACCAGAACCCCAGAAACACGACTCTATCCACAAACTCTATAAATCGATAAATGCCGTGCAGATTTACACTGATGGATCTAAATGAGTCATGTTACTACTGGTGTCTTCATTATTAATGACAATAGAGAAACTGCTATACGTTTAGCTGATCATTTGTCAATATATTCTGTTGAACTGCAGTTATTGAAACGTGGCGCTGAGCTATTTTCTAAGACCTGTCAGCTGTCAATTTTAGTGATTTTGTCAGTGCTATACATTCAAGACGTTCAGTTTCTACCTCGGCGAGGCAGGTCGTAATCAACATACGCGTTACACTTGTTCTTTTTGAACTGTGTTTCAATT